GAGGAAGATGGTCGGAGATTGTCAATTGGCAGTGGAGGTGGAGTGGGGGCAGGAGCTGTAGCTGGATTAGGAGCAGGAGCTGGAACAGGAGGTGGAGTAGGAGGGGGAGGAGGAGGAGGAGGAGGAGGAGGTGGAGGTGGAGGTGGAGGTGGAGGTGGAGGTGGAGGAGGAGGTGGAGGTGGAGGAGGAGGTGGAGGAGGAGGTGGAGGTAGTGGAGGTGCAGGTGCAGGTGCAGGTGCAGGTGCAGGTGCAGGTGGAGGAGCAAGTTCCATTGGTGGAGGTGCTTCACTCAATACTGGTAGTGGTGCACTAGCAACACTCGGAAGTTCTCTGGGAGGGTCCATTGGCGGTGGTGGCATGAACAGCTCCATCAGTAACCTGGGTGACATTGAAATCCCAAATGTGTTGAACCAGCAGCAGACTGTTCCCAGGCAGACTGGCTCATTGGCCACACACTCAGATGACCATGCTATCACACGCATCAAAAACATGAGGATGATTGAGCTAGGAAAATACCGTATTAAGCCGTGGTATTTCTCACCATATCCACAGGTGACTATGAATTACTTTGTATATGATGGATGGCTTTGTCTGTTTTAAGCTTCACTTTATATGCTTATTGATGTCTAGAAGAAAAATCTTGTTGATAGATGTGGGGGAGATGCTTCTTAAAAGTCTCGATAAATTATTAGTACATCTATCTAAGCAGTTCTCCAAATTTTGTTTTATACATTGGCCTTTACTGTAGATATTCAGCTATTTTTGTTTTTCTCTTTTGCAGGAATATACAAACTTAGACTGTATTTATATATGTGAATTCTGTCTCAAGTATAGAAAGAGTAGGAAATGTTTGGAAAGACATTTGGTGAGTATTATGTTTTCTATTCTTTCTTTTTTTTCTTCTTAATTATTAAAAAAAAAAAAAAATACTTTTAGGTTTACAACATCAATGGCTGTATTTCATCACTTGAAATTTATCCCCATGCACTGAGATCTTGAATTCCTAATATAGTACCTGTATTTATCCATTTTAATTTTCTTAACATGTTTTACAGCAAAAATGCCCCTTCAAGCATCCACCAGGAAACGAAATATACCGCAAAGGGTCCATATCTTTTTTCGAGTTGGATGGCCGGAAAAACAAATTGTATGCGCAAAATTTGTGCCTTCTAGCAAAGCTTTTCCTAGACCACAAGACGCTGTATTACGACACAGATCCTTTCCTCTTTTATGTTATGACTGAATACGATAATCGAGGATATCACATAGTTGGATACTTCTCAAAGGTATAGTTCATAAATGATCCACATTTGAAGGTATAGGTAAAGTAGATAAGGATAATGGGTGATTTCCTTTTATATGTAACGTAATTGTAACTGAGTACCCACTATGCATATACAGCAGGTACAGGTGCTGAAACATCTCTTTATCAGTAAATGACAATAAATGAGAAAGCTTCATTTTAAGTTCTTTCACTGCATTTGCTGATTCATTGCTGTATTGCAATTGCAGGAAAAGGAATCCTCAGAAGACTACAATGTAGCCTGTATTTTAACCCTTCCACCATATCAGAGGAAGGGGTATGGCAAACTACTTATTGAATTTAGTAAGTAAAGTTTCCTTTAACACATATAATCATCACACGTCGTGTGATAGGGCACTGGAACATAAGGTATTTCTTTTACATATATAATTTTTACAGTGTCTGATTTATTATTTTGTATTGTATTTTGATTATTTTTGCACTTTTGCAAGTTATGAATTATCCATTTCCTTTGTAACTTTTGGTTGTTTTTGCTGGTTTCCTTGTAGGTTTTGAATAATCCATTTTCATATCTTTTGATCATAATTGCATGATTCTTTGCAGGTTACGAATTATCAAAATTTGAAGGTAAAACGGGGTCTCCTGAGAAACCGCTCAGTGATCTAGGACTACTATCGTATAGATCATACTGGAAGCAAACAATATTGGAGATTCTCATCGCCCTAAAGCCACAGGAAGGGCAGGAAAAACCACAACTCACGATAAAGTAAGTGAGAATGTTGCAACATTTTTAGAGATCTTGCTTTTTTTTAATTATTATTATTATTTTTTCTTACAATCAGATGGATAAGTCTGTTACATTTATGAAGGAGATGCCTTTAGTCAGGGAGTATTTAGATTTTGTTACCAGTGAATATGTAGAATCTCTTGTTGATCATATATGTATGTATTAGTTATTATTATAATAGAAACAAAAATTACCTATCCTACTATTTTACATGTAATTTCAAAAGCATAAAAAAAAGAATTTTCTTTTATACACTGCTGATGTCTGTATCTCCCCTTTTTTCCAGTGAAATCTGTGAGCAAACCAGCATAAAAAAAGAAGATGTGATATCTACTCTCACAAACTTAGAATTAATCAACTACTACAGAGGGCAATATATATTAACACTTAATAAAGAACTTGTAGAGAACCACAAGAAAGTGATGGAGAAGAGAAAGATTAGAATTGATTCCAAGTTTTTGCACTGGACTCCAAAGGACTGGGCAAAGAGGGGCAAGTGGTAGTCTGCTGTGATAAATCTATTCTTAGGAAGAAAAATAAAAAAAGAAGTAAATTTTATAGTACAAATTGAGAACAATTATTTTGTGTCAGTTTATTATTTTACGGAGTAAGATATTGGAGTTTGATTGTATTGTAAATTTGAATTTGGTGTAACACGTGCTGAAAATGGACAAATTTGCAAGAGGCGAATTCCCACAAGATGAACAAGGAAATGGAAGACAACAGACAATCTCAGGCTGATGGTACTTGTAATTTCAGTTTCTTGTGATAAAATAAACTCAAAGGGGAAAGGGCTTCGGTTAATTCACACTTATTATTAGATCTTGTCATGTCCTCACCAACAAGCTCTTTAATTATTATCATTATTATTAATCATGGAAGATAGATATTGCAAAAATTATAATGAGATGATATAAGCAAGGGCCAATGATAGTTTCTGTTAGTTATATATGGTGTTTTGCAATCAGCTCTTACAGATACCCTAGTCATTCATTTATTCATTAATTTTTTCACAAACATGCATAAACACACACATGTGCACATGCACATCTATATCCATATCTCCCCCATACACTGTTACTGGCCACATGCTAATTTATCAATCCCTTGTAATAGAGAAGAGCTTAAAGACCATCCATGATTCTGTTTGTTAAAATAGGGAAACCATATCACAATATCATGATCACCTAAAGCCACTGTAACATTGAACAAAGTGCTAAGTATGTATATAGAGAGAATATAAACAAAGAAAACACACACGCACACCCACACACATACACAAAACACACACATACACAAAACACACACATACACAAAACACACACATACACAAAACACACACATACACAAAACACACACATACACAAAACACACACATACACAAAACACACACATACACAAAACACACACATACACAAAACACACACATACACAAAACACACACACACACAAAACAAACACACACACACACACACACACACACACACACACACACACACACACACACACACACACACACACACACACACACACACACACACACACACACTCACTCACTCACTCACTCACTCACTCTCACACTCACTCACACTCACACACTCACTCACATGCATATATACATACATAAATACTTATGCATATATATACATAATACATATGCATATATATACACATAATACATATGCATATGTATACATAATACATAAATACATATGTATATAGACATACATAAATACATAAGCATATATACATAAATACATAAGCATATATACATAAATACATAAGCATGTATACATACATAAATACATAGAGCCTACATACATACATAAATTCATAAGCATATATATACCTAAATATATATTGCCTACATAAATACATATGCATCCATACATACATTAATACTTAAATACACATGCATATATACATGCATAAATACTTGTACATATATACGTACATAAATGCATATGCATTTATACATACATTAATTCATATGCATATATACATACATACAGATCCATATGCATATATACATACATACAAATCCATATGCATATATACATAGATACAAATCCATATGCATACATTCATACATACAAATCCATATGCATACATTCATACATATGATATACATATACATATTCATATATACATACATAAAATAATTAAATTTAGGTTCATATGTAAATAAACAATGGTGTAAGAAGAACTTTGGTGACAGGTTACTATTAATGCTACTTAGTGAGTGGAAAGAGAAAGACATCAAGGAAACAAACAATTTGGGAAAGCATGTTTAAAGCCCTTGGCTATGAGCCTTCCTCATAACAGATTCTATGTCAGATCAAATTAAAAGGGAAATGGAAATCTAAAAAAAAAAAAATGTTTTATTTATTATAATCCCCATATGCTGTTGATAGTTATGTATTATGTGTGACATGATGAAGACCTGCTATAAACATCTATATACATACAGCCCAAGGTAGGGGATCACCCCTACCTTGGACCTCAGCCCACACCTGACTAATTTTGCATGGTCTTTTATTCTCTCCCTTTCCTTTCCTTCTCTTCTTCATCATCCCCTTCTTCTGTTCACTTCCTAAGGTGTGTGAACCAGGCTGGCTTTGTGTCAGGCATGGACAGCCTCCAGGAGCCATGGGCATGGTATTCCCTTGATTAATTGTCTAGCCCTTGCCCCACATGGGGACCCTGAGGGGTAGACCATTTCCTCTCCCCATTTATTTCAAGCTCACCATGGCTAATAATGATGTTTTACCCTTATTAGGGACACTAAGTCTTGCCCCTTCATCAACTTGCATACCTAAATTTGATTTCATTGATTTCCTGACCCCTGCCTATCCTTTGACCATGGCTCTGACTGATACTAATATCACCTCCTCTGTGTCTATGATCAACTCTATCCATTCCGAATCATCCACCCAGGTCATTGCTCAACCTTCAGAATACACCCCTTCCTCTCTCCCAACATCCTCCTCTCCATCTTCTACTGCACAGACTTCATTGTCTACCCCCACCCCCCTTATTACCCTTTAGCCTTATTGTCCTCCTTCCAACAGTACTACCTCTCTCCATACCACCCCATCTTCCTCCTGACCTCATCCTTCTACTGCTTCCATGTTTGCAAACCTTTTGAATACCCTTTTTGGCCCAGCCAAGTGGGATCAAGAAGTACTCAGATGAGGTTTTTCTCTTTCTATCTATTCCAAAACTGTACTTCGCTCTATCTCTTCCCTATACTCCAAAGTATCCTATCTCTACTTCCTCTCTCTTCCAGTCAAATTCCTCTTCCAGTCTAAATCCATATACTCCAATCTCTACCACTTCCCAGTGCCTACCTCTCCTCCTCCTCACTCTACCTGTTGCACCAGACAGTTTAAACATTCGACTCCATCTTCTACCTACACACACAGCTTCCTCTTCTCCTCCACATAAGAAAACCTTTGTTTCTCAGACCTTCCCACCCAACTCCCCCTCCAGAAACTTGAAGACATCCAAAAGTTCATAAACACGACTCAAGAGAATAATTCACTCCTTCATCCACCCTCTATTCCTATTCGCTCAACATTCAAAGAATTTGCCAATATCCATCTTCCTCCTCAATTTCCCCCTACCCCTCTTCTTGTCACTCACCCAAAAAACACCCCATCCATGTTCATCACCATTCCTTCTTCCTTCTTCAATATCCTTGCCACCCCCATTTAGATGCTCACATGACTCCCTTACACCTCAATAGTGTCCTTCATGACCCCTTCCCTCTTGACATTCTTCTCGATATGGTACCATTTTCCCTTATTTCATTCCCTGGATTCTTCTACTTGTACAACTATCATTTCTTACAATATTACTCTTTGTTTCATAACAGCTCTTTTGCAGTTTCCTCATACAGGGTACTCGCCCTTCCTCAGACACATACTCCCCATTTGATCTGATGGCCCCATACATCTAACCACATCCCCATTTACAAATCCCCATTGTACTCCATTTACTCCCCCTCTATGCCCTCTTCACTACCTACAGTGTTCTACAACCTTTGACATCTAACACATCTTTTAACAATCGTTGATTCATTTCCACCCTTTTTGCCACGAAACTTTACTACAGTGCTATATGATCTTTCATATCTAACACATTTATCTCTTCTAACCATTTACCTATTTACATATAATGGCTGTCTGCAAAAGGAAACCCTGGGGGTGGATTGTTTCTCTCCCCAACATATTCCAGGCTTACCATGGCAAGTTATGAAGATTTTGTACCTCTATTAGGGGCAATGGGCATGCCAAATAGCCCCACCTACTTTAATTCTACAAGTTCCCTGACCTCAGGCTCTCCTTTGACCATGACTCTGAACATTGGTACTACTACCTCAATGCTGAGTATCACATTAGTCCAAATCATCCATCCAGGTCATTGGAAGAAAAACCCACAATGCAAAAACTAGATTTTTTGAAAATGAGACTATAATTTTGAAATCCACATGAATTCCATCTTCAGACCTGAAGATGGAATCCAGGTCGATTTCAAAATTGTAGTCACATATTCAATAACTCTTGTTTTTGCATTTTTTCTACCATAGTATCTACATGGAAGAGTGTTTGTCCTCACTCTACCTGTTGCACCAGACAGTTTAAACATTCGACTCCATCTTCTACCTACACACACAGCTTCCTCTTCTCCTCCACATAAGAAAACCTTTGTTTCTCAGACCTTCCCACCCAACTCCCCCTCCAGAAACTTGAAGACATCCAAAAGTTCATAAACACGACTCAAGAGAATAATTCACTCCTTCATCCACCCTCTATTCCTATTCGCTCAACATTCAAAGAATTTGCCAATATCCATCTTCCTCCTCAATTTCCCCCTACCCCTCTTCTTGTCACTCACCCAAAAAACACCCCATCCATGTTCATCACCATTCCTTCTTCCTTCTTCAATATCCTTGCCACCCCCATTTAGATGCTCACATGACTCCCTTACACCTCAATAGTGTCCTTCATGACCCCTTCCCTCTTGACATTCTTCTCGATATGGTACCATTTTCCCTTATTTCATTCCCTGGATTCTTCTACTTGTACAACTATCATTTCTTACAATATTACTCTTTGTTTCATAACAGCTCTTTTGCAGTTTCCTCATACAGGGTACTCGCCCTTCCTCAGACACATACTCCCCATTTGATCTGATGGCCCCATACATCTAACCACATCCCCATTTACAAATCCCCATTGTACTCCATTTACTCCCCCTCTATGCCCTCTTCACTACCTACAGTGTTCTACAACCTTTGACATCTAACACATCTTTTAACAATCGTTGATTCATTTCCACCCTTTTTGCCACGAAACTTTACTACAGTGCTATATGATCTTTCATATCTAACACATTTATCTCTTCTAACCATTTACCTATTTACATATAATGGCTGTCTGCAAAAGGAAACCCTGGGGGTGGATTGTTTCTCTCCCCAACATATTCCAGGCTTACCATGGCAAGTTATGAAGATTTTGTACCTCTATTAGGGGCAATGGGCATGCCAAATAGCCCCACCTACTTTAATTCTACAAGTTCCCTGACCTCAGGCTCTCCTTTGACCATGACTCTGAACATTGGTACTACTACCTCAATGCTGAGTATCACATTAGTCCAAATCATCCATCCAGGTCATTGGAAGAAAAACCCACAATGCAAAAACTAGATTTTTTGAAAATGAGACTATAATTTTGAAATCCACATGAATTCCATCTTCAGACCTGAAGATGGAATCCAGGTCGATTTCAAAATTGTAGTCACATATTCAATAACTCTTGTTTTTGCATTTTTTCTACCATAGTATCTACATGGAAGAGTGTTTTACCATTCACCCAGGTCATTACTTAACTTCCTGAAAACATTCTCCTCTACCTACCCTCATAAAGAAACTCATAAAGAAACCTGTTTCAAAAAAATTCAGGGAAATTTAAGGAATGGGGTAAATTTTGTAGTCAGGTATGCCAGAGAACAGAAGTAAAGCTATCCCTATACCCCCCCAATCCCTTGTTCGTTATTGTCATGGGAAGGCTTAGGAGACGGGAACTGGGGCCCAACGTTAGGGATCACCCCTGCCTTGGACCTCAGCGTGGTCTTTTCTTCCCCTCCTTCCCTTTTACTTCTGTTCTTTATCCCCTTCTTCTGTCTACTTATCCTAATTGTTAACTCATGCCCTTTTTGCCACATTATCTTATCATAATGCTCCCTACTCCCTTAACTCCTTCCCCTTCTAACAACCTTTACCTTATGCTATGCCCCATCAGCACCCCCACTCTACCCTTTTCACTACCATACTACCCTGTAGTACTGTTCAACCTGTAACTTTGCTCAAATCATTAATTCACTCCTAACACCTTTTGCTACTATACTTTACCTTTGATGTCATACAGCACTTCCTTACCTGGGTCCCCCCTAATCCCTTGCTCCTTGTTGCTGTGTGGGGCTTAGGAGGCGGAGACTGAGGCCCACTGTAGGGATCACCCATGCCTTGGACCTCAGCCCTTGCTTGAACTAATTTTGCAGGGTCTTTTCTTCTCCTCCTTTCCTTTTCCTTCTCCTTTTTATCCCTTCTTCTGTCCATTTATCCAAACTCTTAACTCAGATTTATCCTTTTTGCCAGAATATTTTACCATAATGCTGTGTAACCTTTGTTGCCTGATATATTTGTTTGTTTTGACCATTGACTATTCTGGAAATCCATAAACATTACTTTACTGAACCAAAAAACTTAACCTGGGGCCTCTGTTTTGTATATGCCGCTAATGACCTTAGATGTTGACGCAGCAGAAAGTTTTCAATAAATAAATATGATGCTAATATCTATTTATTCAATAAATAAATAAATATCTTTGTGTGCACAAAATTGGCAAGAAACTATAATGGACTGTACATATACCTGGTATAAATGAGTTAATCTAGCAATGCTGGATCAATCCCCCCAAAAATATTAACTTTTCAACAATTTTGGCTTATTTTAAACAGTTATGGTCTTTGCAACCACTGGAGTAAAAACCTTTCATAATGTACTAATCGCTTTATTTAAAGGTAGAATCTCCATTATTACTTTGCATATTTTGATATCAATATTGATAGCTCTTCACAAATAATAAAACATTGTTATCATGATATTGGCAATTAGTCCCATGAAGGGTGATGACTGTACCCATAATTATGTTAAGAAAAGGAATATTTCTGGATAGAGGATAAAAACATTGAGATCATCATGCCTTCTTTGAAGGCTTCCTCCCTCCCAATCCCTTGCTTATTGTTGCCATGGGGGGGCTTATGAAGTGGAGACTGAGGAACAATGTAGAAATCACCCCTGTCTCAACTAATGTTGCAAGGTCTTTTTTTCTCCCTCTTTTCTTCTCCTTCCTTTCTTCATCCCTTCTGTCCACTTACCCAAAATGTTAACTCATATTTACCCTTTTCACTACAATACTTTAACATAATGCTCTGGTACATTTATTTTTGAC